AGCATTATTTAGACTTGTTTCTAGTTTTTTTGCATTTTCTTGGGTAGTTTTTCTGGAAGAACGAAAGTCTAAAATATCTAAACAATCATTTGAGAAATCCTCTTTTTCCGTGCCTATGAGTTGTGAAACAAATGAGTAACGACCTTCCAGGATATGTATTTTGGTAATTAATATACAATAATTTAAATTTCTTTTCTCGACTTGGAATGAATCACTTTAATTTTCAACAGAATTGTAGGCTTGCACATTTGGTTTGTGGGTAACTACTTTGGGAGGTTATGCTAGACTAATTTCTTTTAAAATTTATGTCTTCTACAGATTGAATATAATTTCAAGTATCTTCAGTGTCCATTAGAATTCACCCAAAAAACGAAACCGTCTCAAGCTGCTGCCTACGAGCCTCTCACAGCCCTAAATGTAAGTCTATTGTTTTTATTCTCCAGGCAGTTTCCACCTGGGTTCTAAAATGCTTTGACACAGGGCCACACTTGACGGAAATGGAAGAACCTGCAGAGAATTCCAGTTTTATAGTTCCATATCTCTTTCTGCCCTGGGGCCCAACCTTTTATTTTTAGTAAAGAAAGCAATCATTTTTTTCATGTAAGACCTGCCCCAATCCAGAATGGACAACACAGTCAGCACTTGCTGCACACCTCTATCCGCCTACATATTCAAGAGTTTCTTCCAGAGTAAACCACAGGAAAAAATGGAGGGTATGATATTTACAGCCACAGCTCCAAGTTCAAATAGCTGCTGGGCTCCCACATAAAGCATGACCTTTCAGAAGCTGTTGGCTTCTAGAAGGATGAACCCAATCTAAAGAAGGCTCTGAACATACAGCATGGACCCAAATTTCCAAGAGACTTGCTCCAAACCAGCTCTTATTTCAAAGAGTGTTTGTGCATTTCTAGCCAATGAAGCATGGAGGTCATGCATAAGATCTACTTCAGTCTAAATAAAGGGTCTCAAATTCAAATAACTGCAGAGAAAACAGGTAACAGATGAATAGATAGACTCTTGGGTATAAGGACAGTGACCACTTGTTTCAATAAATTGTTGCTATGTAGCAATAACAACCCATGCTTGTGTAAATATTGACAAATTAAAATTGCATGCATACAAAATAAAACATAGTTGAAGATGAGATGTGCAAGGTTTGATCTATATCTGTGCTATCAAATATGGTAGCCACTAGTCACCACGTGTCTATCTTAATTCAATTTAGTTAAAATTAAATAAAATAAAAAATGTATTTCTTCATTTTCACTTGCCACATTGTAAGTGCTCAGTAGACCTTGTGATTTGTGGCTCTCATATTGGAAACCACAAATGCAAGACATTTCTGTCATTGCAGAAGTTTCTGTAAGACACCTCTGGTCTAGGCCAATGAGATAGTTTGATTACCTTAAATGAGTTTATTTCCCTACATGGAATCCTTTAGACCTTGGTACCAGCTGCCATATAAAGTGAAATTCACAAAGTTTACTGGGCACTTGGAGAGTGGAGGATGCAGAGTGATGTGGATTTTGTGCACTCAATACTGGCGATAGCAGCAGACTCCCATTTTTTCCTATGCAAAACCTTTTAGCGCTGCTGGAGTTATGTTGGGTTTTGCTATTAGTATAGTTCAAATCAATAGGCAAGTGATCTATACTCAGCAAAGGTTCTGCACATTGTGTTTTTTAATTGTTATTTCAAGAATAGGTAACACTTCTATGACAAAGCGTTTATTATTATCTCCACCACCAGAATGAGAAGGAAATGAAATCTATGTAGCATTTAAAAAGAAATAGGCTCCATATAACAATAGGCTCAGTATAGTCAATATGAAACAGGCTCACCTGGATAAAGACTCACATTTTATGACCACACTCAGCATCAAATCGGCACATGATTCTATGGTGCCTTAATAGCAAAGCAAACCTCACCTTAACCAGATGTGAGCTTTCTGGGGTTCTTCAGGAAGGATAACTGCTCTGGTATGGGAAAGGATTATGCACAGAAGTCTGAAAGTCTGGATGTATCAACTAGACCAGCTTAAGAGGTCAGATAGTGAGATTAGGACAAATGGGAGCTGGTGAAAGGCTATTTCAAGAATGATGCAGGCAGAGTGTGACTATCTTAGAAACTCCATTATTACCGCCATAAACAAGTGGGTTATTTTAATGTATTCTTCATTGGGGTGATACTTAAACTTAAAATGTGTTATGTGCAAAGTACATTACTTAAACATTAATTTTTAATTCAACATGTTAATGTGTTGTTTATC